TTCCTGCATTAATATATGCCTCAGAGACCTGGGCTCTATGAAAACAGGATGAGAACGCTATTCAGATCTCCCAAAGAAAAATCGAAAGAGCTATACTTGGAGTACCATGCTTCACTCAAATGAGAGAACGAATCTGGAATTCTAACCTCCATTGACAGTCGAGAATCATGGGGGTTGAGAATCAGGGATGCTGTCTCGTTTGCCAAGGTGTTGAAGATAAAATGGGCTGGACATGCAATGAGTTTTGGAGATGACCACTGGATTAGAGCCATTATCGACTGGATTCTACAGAACCTCAGAATACCACATGGCCGCCCACCTACAAGATGGTCAGACTTCTTTGTCAAGACCCTGAACGATCAGTTTGAGGCTCTTCTTGTCTAGATCGAGCAAACGTCATTGGGATACACTAGCAGGGACAAATGAAGACGTTACTGGCTCCTGCTTGAGCAAATCAATGAATAACGGGATGTCAAATGATCGTGTCAAATTGTTCCACGGAACATGCGATAAAAGAGGTGTGGGAGGCGTCGGTGTCCTTGTCAACACAAACTTGGCCAAGAGCATTGATTCATTCGAATGCCTAACAACCCGAATCGGACGTTTACATTTGAATAGATGTGGCTCACTGCCTGCAGTTTCTATCTTCGTTGTCTACGCACCAACATCTCATTATGATGAAAGAGAAATCGAGAAGTTCTACATGGAGCTAGAGAAGTTCTATAAAGAAGACCACACTTTCTACAAGATCATTGTGGGTGATTTTAATGCCAAGATAGGACCGAGAAGATCAGCTGAAGAACTTCACATCGGGACCCATGGCCTAGAATGGAACGAACAGGGTGAGAGACTGTCTGAGTTCATCATGTCAACCAAGACCATTCATGGTAACTCACAGTTCCAGAAGGCAGAATCTAAACAATGGACATGGGAGTCTCCCGGTGGACGATTCCACAACGAAATAGACCACATCATATTGAATCGACGGTTTTGCCTGACTGATGTCGCTGTTGTCCCAAAATTTCGAATGGGATTGGACCACCGTCTCCTTCGTGCAAAATTCTACTTCACAGAGCGGGGAGAAAGGGCTGCAAAGTTCAAAAAGAGAACTCCCAGAATGACCACCAACTGGGAACTCTTTGGTACTATTGCGGCAACATGGGAAGATGCCATTGTTGACAACATTGACGAGGAATACGATCGACTGGTTCAGCACCTCCATGAATGTGCGAGGAGCGCCAAGAGAGAGATAGCCACAAAAAGTCGCCTATCTTTGAAAACTCTTGAGCTAATTCGCCAGCGTGGTTTGGCGCATGCCTCAGGCAACCGCAAGCTAACGTCCGAGTTTGCAAAGCAGTGCAGAGATGTGATAAAGGAAGACCTCAAAGAGAGAAGAGCAGAAGTACTGGTAGATGTGGCAGAAGCCGGGAAAAGTATTCGTAACGCCCGCCTGTCCTTCGCCAACTATAAGACCAAGATGACTGCCCTCCGACGTCCTGATGGATCCATCACATCCTCCAGAACGGCAATGGAGAAGATTATCCATGACTTCTACTCAAATCTCTTCGATAGCCATGTCCACTTGCCGACATACCAAATTCCACAGGATGGGTATGTCGTTCCCAACGTTCTCCCTTCCGAAATCCGACACGCCATTTCGTCAGTAAAGAAGCAAACAGCACCCAGCCCAGACAAGGTCAGACCTGAACACCTGAAGAACCTGCCGTCAGTACTCATCAATACACTGGCTCGGCTCTTCACTCGCTACCTGTCTGAATGCAAGGTTCCGTCCCAATGGAAAACCAGCAGGACCGTACTACTGTTCAAGAAGGGAGACATCCATGACATTGGCAACTATCGCCTGATCTGCCTATTGTCTGTCATCTACAAGTTGTTCACTCGAGTCATCCTGAATAGGATTGGCAGAACACTAGATGAAGGACAACCATGCGAGCAAGCAGGGTTCCGCAAAGGATTCAGCACCATCGACCATATCCACACGATAACCAAGCTCATTGAGGTTTCTCGGGAGTTCAAGATGCCGCTCTGCTTAACGTTCATTTATTTAAAGAAGACCTTTGATTCTGTTGAGACGGAAGCGGTCATTGAAGCCCTAGCCAATCAGGGCATGCAAGCCCAATACATCAGGATCCTCCGTGAGCTCTATTGCGGATTCACTACCAGGATCTCACCATTCTACAAAGAAGTGATCGTTGATGTCAAGAGAGGGGTGCGGCAGGGTGATACCATTTCACCGAAACTCTTCAGTGCCACCCTCGAGAACATCATGCGACGACTGGAATGGGAAGGAATGGGAGTGAAGATAGATGGTCAGCAACTACACCACCTCCGCTTTGCTGATGACATTGTTTTAATACACCAAACATCAGCCAAGCGGCACAAATGCTGGCCGACTTTGACCGTGAGTGTGGAAAGGTAGGACTACAGCTGAATCTTACGAAGACAATGTTTATGAGAAACAGCCTCGTTCCTGACGCCCCATTCGCTCTCAACGGAACGACCATCTCCGAATGCAACAGCTATGTGTACCTAGGTCGAGAGGTCAACATGACAAATGACCTGGCACCCGAGCTGCGCAGGAGGAAGAGAGCGGCTTGGAACGCCTTCAAGGACATTGAAGAAATAGCTAAGAGGACGAAGAAACTCCAGCTCCGGGCACATCTCTTTGATTCCACTGTTCTTCCTGCATTAACATATGCCTCAGAGACCTGGGCCCTACGCAAACAAGATGAGAACGCTATTCAGGTCTCCCAAAGAAGAATAGAAAGAGCTATGCTTGGAATGTCACGTTTCACTCAAATGAAAGAACGAATCCGGAGTTCTGACATCCGTCGACGATCAAGGATCAGGGACGCTGTCTCATTTGCCAAGGTGTCGAAAATCAGATGGGCTGGTCACGTAATGAGATTTAAAGACGACCGCTGGACTAGAGCTGTTACTGATTGGATTCCAGGGGATGTCAAGAGACTGCGTGGCCGCCCACCTACCAGATGGTCAGACTTCTTCGTCAAGATCATGAACGATAGGTTTGAAGCCCTTCATGTTCCCGGAGCGAACAGATGCCATTGGGCTACACTAGCACGCGACAGGGACAAATGGAGACATTACTGGCGCCCGCTCGAGCAAATCGACGACTAACAGGAAGTTAAGTGATAAGTGATAAGTGATAATTATACTGGAATGAATGGACAGACAGATGAATGGATGTAAGTGCAGATGGTAGATAAAGGTTATTTTGTGATACATGTGAAAAGCCTTAATACCAAAATTAATTTGAAATATACTGGATTAGACAAATTTAATTAAGCTAATGTGCTACTATTGCACATTAGAGCATTTCATAAGTAGCTTGTGCAGGGGGCAGAGAGATAGCAGAGTGGGTAAGGTGACTGCCCTGTATGCCACTGGTGCAGGTTTGATCCCCTGTAAAAAACATAGACCTGAGTCCTGCCAAGAGTGTCTGATGACCTCAAAGCCAGGAGCAAACCCTGAGCACAGCCTCATGAAGCCAAAAACACAAAGAATGAGAAAAAAAAAAGAATAGCTTATGTAAACATATCACTCACACACTTTATTATAGGTATATTTTTGAGGAGTATATATGTAATAATTTTTGTGCATTATTGTGTAGAAAATATTGGAAGATAATGTCTAGATAAGAAATAATTTGGACTATATAACAATATTTTACAAAATGTAAATATCTGAAATATTATTGTTGATGCTCTTGACTTGTAAAAGTTGTTGAAATGAAGATGAACATCATCTTATAGTTTCATTGGTTTTTTTACGGGAAGCACTCCTTGATTTGCACTCAGGGATCACTCCTCTCAAACTCATGATACCATATGGGCTGCCTCTGATCATACCCAAGTCAGTGCCCTACTCACTTACTATCTTTCCAGTTCCTCTAGTATTTTTAATTCTACTCTATCATACAAGTTTAATTGTTAATTTGTAGTCTATGAAATATTCTGGAAAATACAATAATAATCCAATTCCCTCTTTAAAAAGATAAATAGGGTGGAACAAAGAGATAATATAGTGGGTAAGACACTTACCTGCATGTGACTGACCTAGATTTGGTCTTTGGTAGCCCATATGTTCCCCCAAGTCTCCCAGGAGTGACTCTTAAGCACAGAGCAAGGAGTGACCTCTGAGTACTACCAAATGTGGCATGTCCCTGCTCCAAAAAAATAGAGAAATGGAACTGATCTGATCTTGGAGAGCTTCTGACAACTGACTTATTCCAGGTAGACTCATCTGCTGCCACCATGTCCAGATCTCTGGAGCCTTCAGAGGATAAAGGAAGATCAAGTCCCTTCCCTGTATTGCCAAAGGTCCTGAACTCCACTCACCCACATCCAGCCCCCAGAGAAATGGCCCAGTTTCACGACTGAGTTCAGAGAGATGCTTGCCAACTGATCATCACAGCTCCAAAGCTCTTGAAACACCTGGCCACATTTGCCATATATGTGCCCACATGACAGCTCCAAACTTCACAGAGCTGAATGCCTCTTCCTACATTAATGCTATAGGAATTTAGGATGAACATATATAATTGTCTTGATTTTTAAAGAAAGCAAATTATGAGACAATAATTAACACATAGCAAACCAGTCACACGTTCTATCTAAAGCCTTAGAAAGAAATTTCTAGGCAGAGTTGTTTTTACATTTAATAGATATTGTGAGCAGTAGTCCATTAAAAATATCAAATGTGGACTGGAGGGAGAATGAAAGGTGATTACCCTGCACTCAGTCAGCTGTGACTATAATCCCAGCACCACACACGGTCCCCTGTGCACCGCCAGGAGTGAGCCAGGAGTAAGCCCTGAGCACCGCTGGATGTGGCCCCCAAACCAAGCAAAGTTACCAAATGATCGTTCATAGAGAAGCATCATGTTCAGCAATGACTGAAAAGCATTGACATACATTATTCATACTAAATGTAAATACCTTTAGGATATAAAATATCACCCTTTGGATTTTTGTCGCTTTTCTCCGGGGTTGGCTTTAACATTGCTGCTGAAGTATCCAATTTGGAGTCTTTGCCCTCTTTCACTTCTTTACCCTCTTTCACTTCTTTGCTCTCCTTGGGCTCTTTTCCTTGTTCTTTAGTTTTGTTTTCTAGTGCTGCTAATTTGTTTTCATAGTTGGAATCATCAGGCAGCTTAAAACTAGGCAATATATCCTTTAAGAGCTCCCAAACCTGGTCCATATATTCTGGGCTTTAAATAAAAACATACGAAGATTAATATCCAAACAGAAAGCTCTTTTTTATTCCCAATCTCAAATTTCTGATAGAAGAAATAAATTTGGTAATTCACAAAACTAATTTCAATGATTTACTTCAAATATTAGTAAAAGGTACCATCTTTTTTTCATTTATTGAACAGGCTTGATTGGTTGTCTACAACATGCTAGGTTTTGCTAATGCAGAGACCAAATAAGGTGTTTTGGTTCCAAACAGTGGGTTCCAAACTCCCTTTTCCCTAAGTACACAGAAAATCTACATATATATTATATTTTATTTAAAATATTTTATTAATTAAAAGGGCTGGAGCGATAGCACAGCGGGTAGGGCATTCGCCTTACAAGCGGCCAACATGGCCGACCTGAGTTCGATTCCTCTGCCCCTCTCGGAGAGCCCGGCAAGCTACCGAGAGTATTCGATATGCCAGACACAGTAACAACAAAGTCTCCAATGGAGACGTTACTGGGCCCGCTCGAGCAAATCGACGATCAACGGGACGGCCTTTACCTTTTACCTTTTTTATTAATTAAAATACAATCTATTTTAATATATATTCAATATTTTTTTAAAAACACCTGAATAAAGAATGCACCAGCGAGTTATGGTATATGGAAAATACACATTTAAAAATATAAATTAAATAGGTTTCAAGTAAGCAATGTACATAATGGTGATTATAGGCAATAAAATTATATTGTATATTTGAAAATTGTTGAAAGTAGATCTTAAAAGTTCTTATCAAAGAAAAATTAGCTGTGTAGTATTTACTATAGCAATTATTTTGTACTATGTGCAAATATTGACTTGTGATTTATCTAAAATTAATATAATGCAACATGACAATTAGACCTCAATAAAAATAAAAAAACACAAAAAATGAACCAAGAAATTATGCATGACTGTACACACGTACAGCGGGTGAGATTAATGTGCTATTACTAACATGACATGGAAAAATCACACTTCATTGCACATTCCTTAAGTGACAGGCATTTTCCCAATCATTATTTGTATGTAAAATATCTTCATCTCACTTGACTTTGGCAAGGAATTTAATAATACTTTATGTTATTCTTCCCTTCTCCGGCAAATATACTAAGTTTTTGTGGCTTTAATCTATTATTATAGATAATGTTGGCAGACCCTTTAAAATTGCCTTTTATTTGCACATGGTTGACAAGTGACCTATTTCTCCAGAGTTCTCCCAATGCTCTTGCCTCCTCTTATACTTATTCCTCAAAGAGCAAGCACCCACATTTTGATCATGCCTGTACTTAGAGGTAACCCTCAAAATCATTAACTGCAGCTCAATATTCTATAAATACCCAAGCCTGTGTAAACAACTACCTGGTAGACATCTATCAAGAATAAAATGTCAATAAGCAGAAACGTCCTGCCTTTCTCTATTTAGAAAGTTAGACTAAGCCTCTTAAGTCTGACACTTTTTCCCTTTGATTCAACCTCTTATTGCAATCAATAGCCTTTTCTCCACTTTTTTCACCACTTCAGTTTTAGAAATTCCTGGCCGATCCCTCTGGACTAGCACAGTAAGCAGATCTCCTGCTCCAGTCTTGTCATCTACTCTCCTGTTCTAAGAAATATACCAATATCATAGGTCTTATCATCTTCCTGTTTTAAGTTCTTCAGTCATACTCTTAGCACAATGAGGATGTTGTGAAACACTGATAACAGCATAAAAGACCTTTGTCTATGTAATTTTTACTGCTTACTTCTCCATTCCATGCTATAAATCTACCACCCAGCAGCTCATAATAGAGACATGAGCTAGTAGAACCACATACTTTTCTTTTTTTTATACACCCATACTATTTTCAGCTGAGATTTCTGTCCTACTTTAATCAGTTGCACTAATGCTTTAAAACAAATTGAAGTGATCTATTCTGTGTGTGTGTGTGTGTGGGGGGGGGGGTTAAGCTGTATATCCTGTCTCTGCAACTACGAGCTCACCAAGAGCTAGACCCTTCTGCATTGTCTTTACCAATACTTAAAAGTGAATCAATCATCAAGTATATATTGAGAATATATGCTGTGAAAATCATTTGGTGTCAGTATTCTAAGTACAGATGATACAATATTGAGCAAGAAACAGAGTCTCCTAAGAGTTGAAAAAATTCAAAAAGAGCTCCAATTCTTATGAACTTACCTTCTAAGTGAAGGTAACCAGGAGAGAAGGAGAGAAAGAGAAGAGGGAAAGGGAAAGAGAGTAACAGAGACAGAAAGAGAGACAGAGAGAAATGTTCCATTAAAATTAATCTGAGATAATGAATGATGAAATAGTATAACTTGTAGAATGAGAAATTTATATGGGATAATCAACAAAGATTTCTAAGGCGGAGGTGATTTCTCAGTGGACTGGAGAGTATGAGTTGCATGTGGCAACCCCAAGTCCAATTTCTAGCATTGCTGGAATGACTCAAGCACAGCTAGGGGTGGCTTACCCTGAGTCATGAATGATAGGATCCTGCTACCCACTACCCCTCAAATAAAACCTGTCTAGGTATTAGATATTTAAGCTTGGTGAGACGTAATTTATATAAAGGGGGATCTTTCCTAGCATAACAAAAACAAAGAATTCATCTAAAGACCCTAAGACACAATGGTTTCATAGAGTTGAGAAACACAATAAAGATGTAAGTGCCAGCTAGTTTTGCTAAGAAACAGATTAGACAGAGAAGGATGTGATCAGAAGCTGTGCAAGGGATCAAGGATGCAGATTTCTAGGGACAAGCATAAACATTTTAAAGTTTCTTTTCCTCTGTAATGGTCACCAGTCCAAAGATTTTGAACAAGAGAAGTATTATGAGCAAGGGCAGTTTATGGTATAGAAAACCTTTGACTTCTATGGAAAGAATTAACTAGGCATAAGTTAAGGAAGATACAGGAGGACCAGTTTTGAGTAGCCATTTAATGTAAGTAGTGGTGGGGAGTTGATCTATAATGGTGATGAGAGATAGAAAGCAATAACTAATCTCAGAGTGAGTGGAGGATATACTATTGACAGAGGTTAGCAAGAGGAAGAAATGATTGATCAGTGATTATCCCTAATTCTCCCAGTGTGATTTTGTTTTAATTTTAATTAATCTGATGGAGAGTGGTGTTCTAGTAATTACTAACATGACATGGAAAAATCACACTTCATTGCACATTCCTTAAATGACAGGCATATCCCTATCATTATTTGTATGTAAAATATCTTCATCTCACTTGACTTTAGCAAGGAATTTAATAATACTTTATGTTATTCTTCCCTTCTCTGGCAAATATACTAAGTTTTTGTGGTTTTAATCTATTATTATAGATAATGTTGGCAGACCCTTTAAAATTGCCTTTTATTTGCACATGGTTGACAAGTGACCTATTTCTCCAGAGTTCTCCCAATGCTCTTGCCTCCTCTTATACTTATTCCTTAAAGAGCAAGCACCCACATTTTGATCATGCCTGTACTTAGAGGTAACCCTCAAATCATTAACTGCAGCTCACTGCATCAAACTTATGAGATATTTTTGGGTGTACCATTCTAACAGGGGGCTGGAGTGATAGCACAGCAGTAGGCGTTTGCCTTGCATGTGGCTGACCTGGCTGACCCAAGTTTGATTCCTCCGCCTCTCTTGGAGAGCCCAGCAAGCTACTGAGAGTATCTCGCCCGCATGGCAAAGCCTGGCATGCGTGTGAGATACTCTCGATACCATTGTTCATTGATTTACTCCTGCGGGTGCCAGTAACATCTCCATTTGTCCCAGCCCTGAGATTTTAGCAGTCTCTCCTTACTCATCTTTTCCAACGTATTAGAGGCTCTTTCAGGGTCAGGGAAATGAGACCCATTATTATTATTACTGTTTTTGGCATACTAAATACGCCACAGGTAGCTTGTCAGATTTAGCATTTAAAATAAAATAAAATTATTAGCTAGAATAATACTTAAAATGAGTGTCATTCTCTAATATGTAAGAAGTTAAAATAAAATTACAAAATAGCAATATGAATAGTATGAAATAATGTATAAAGTGAAATAACATGAATTACTACTATATTCCTTCTCATTTTAGGGTTGCTGGAGAAAGATAACTATTGATGATTCTTTCCCTTTTGATGAAGATAACGTTTTGCTACTTCCAGCTTCAACTTATGAATTTGAACTTTGGCCAATGCTTTTGTCTAAAGCTATTATTAAGCTGGCAAATATTGAGTATGTAAATGAATTGTTATTTACTCTATAAAAGGGAAAGAGAAAAGCAATACCTATTTATATTTAATAGTTTTTTAAAAGTGAATTCAAAAGGCACTATCAACTTACTAATATCAAAAGAAGAATAGCAACCCTACTGACTTAATGTATTTGGTTAGAAAGAGGAGAGATAAAACACTATGATTAAAATGTCAATAATGGAAAATAATGTTTTATATTAATGGGAGGAAGATGTCTTATGGCAAAAAACAATTCATTAAATACTAATATATACTGGAATCTATATATTATTTTATAATGTTTATGTAGCTATTAATTAGTAGCTTTGAAAAATCTAAAGTTTTGGAAACATTTGAATGCATTTCTCAGTATTTAATTAGCCACATAATTTAAAATAATTTAAAAATATATTAAAACACATATTTAGACAATAAATACTTTAATATGCTTTTCAAATCAGTAACCATAGCCCTGAAAGATTATCTTATTTAAATATCCTAATGATTCTTTATATAGGTATATCACATTGCAAATGGGGAAATTGAAACTTCTGGTGGTTGAATTACCAAAATATCTTTGTTGAAACACATGATTGCCTTGTACTATATACATATGTGTATATATATATATATATATATATATATATTTGTATAAAACGTCACCTGGAAATCTTATACATCATAACTTATTCAACTATCTTAAGATTGCAATTCAGATATACAAGGATTAAAATTAATACATCTCAAATAGAATCCTTGATATTCTCAAGAAATTTTATACAATAGTCTAAATGTTGTTCTCCCAAAACATTGTGGTATAAAAATTTAAAGAAATGTTGCGCTTCTTTAAAGTTTCTCCAATACTAAATTTGTCTCCTTTAAAGACAGATATTACTGATCATTAGGATGGTCATAGATATTGTCTTTTCTTCTTCTTCTTTTTTTTTTTTTTTGCTTCTTTTTGGGTAAAATCCGGCGATGCACAGGGGTTACTCCTGACTCTGCACTCAGGAATTACCCTTAATGGTGCCCAGGAGACTATATGGGATGCTGGGAATCGAACCCAGGTCGGCCTCGTGCAAGGTAAACACCCTACATACTGTGCTATTGTTCCAGCCCCATTATTGTCTTTTCTTAGGCTCAAGCCTACCTAAGAGTAATGACTTCAGGCAACCATCCTGTGAGTGCATGAATAACTGTGAACTCGCCCAGTTCTCTCCTCTCTGCTATGTGGATGCTAAAAAAAAAAAAAAGCATAAAAGTAGAGTTAGTAAATTCTGAAACTACAGAGAGGTATATTGTAATGAGAATAGAAATGCCTCTTACAACTAAGATGATCATAAACATATGGGTTATAATGACTTTATAATGGCTGTACATTATTATACAAGAACAGGCTATTCCAAAGGACAAATGACTTATTTTATGAAGGCACTTCAGTAGATCTAATTAATGATGTTCATAAATAGTTACAAAACAAGCTCATACATGTTATGAATAGAATATACAATTAATATTAATGACACATGGAGCAGGTCCTAAGTAATATTTCGTTCAATTTTATTTTTCAATAAATTTGATCAAAAATTAAATTTAAATAAAATCACATTCTTGAAGGACCTGTTTTCCTTCTATGTTGTTTTACTTAAAGCAGAAGTTTCTAAAAATCCATGGAAGACCATCAGGGCTTAGGAAATATAGAGCATATTAATAGTGCAAATAATATGAAACATAAATGTGGGCAACTTATATTTTACGGAGTATATATACTATCTTGTTGTTTTAAAATAGGGCACTGTCTAATCTTTCTGATTGCAATAATTCTAAAATTTCTAGGAAACTGTGTTAAGGCAGGTTTGCACGTAACTTGTCAAGATGGGTATTAGAAATCTTTCATGGAATCTTTCATAGTTGCAGAGAAATTGGAAACAGCCGATCTGTCCCATGTGAGAGGGTTTACCACCACACCATCAAGTCAAGCAACATCACAAGTGACCAAACATCACTCTCCCTATTTGAGTTCCCATTTTAAATAGTTTTTCTGAGGTTATCAATCTGTTTATATCAAAACACAGAATTGCCATGTGTCCGTCCCACATGGACATCACAGCTTTAGCCGCTATGTGCCAATGGTGGTGATGAATATTATTGGCCAATGAACATGGTCTTTTAAAGAAATCTTAACTTTGTCAGTCAAATGTTTCATTATTTATAAATTTGCATGAGCGAGTTGATCTGACTATGAATTTTGGTGTGTGCATACTCTTTTTATAGATAAATATCTATTGGTACATTTCATGGGGTAGTCTCAATTTTCCTTGAATAATTATAATAACATTTATAAAGTAACTGTGCAAACTCCCCAGAAATTATATGTGTTTCTTTCATCACTTTTCTTACAACTCCAGAGTAATTTTCAATGTGGGATATGAATTGTGATCACTATGGAATATAAAAATCTGAGAAAATGCAAAAACAAATATAAGTTGTTGCATGTAGAGTGTGTTTTTCTAGTAAGCCTAACATGCTTCACTATGTCTACTCTCAAGCTCGATTCGTTTACATAAAGAAATAAACCAAAACAGGTGCTGGAGAGATAGTACAGCAGGTAGGGGACTTGTCTTGCAGGTGACACACATCGTTTCTATCCCCATCACCACATATGACCCTCTGATGCCCCCAGGAATAATGCCTGAGTGCAGATCTGGGAGTAAGCCTGAGCATAGCCAGGTGAGGGCCCCCAAACAAAATAAAAAATGAATAACCATAACTCAAGTTGCTATAAAATCACGTCAGCAAACACAAACACCTTCTGCTGTTCCTGAATTTAATGCATTACTGGATTTACAACTCTAGTTCTTAAAACTTCAAGCAAAAGTGTGAGAATTAGCAGCATTATTTTCTTTCAAAATAAGCAACTATAGTTGTCACCAGTGTGAGAACTTAGTGATTGTTACCTAACAAATGGTGGTGGAAAGTAGAAAGGAGGGCTTCTTTTTGTATTCACTGAAGTTAAGGGCTCTGGGATTCATGAACTGAATTTCCAATACAATAAAACAAAATGAAGAGAATAAACTGATAGGAAGGGTGATAGGGATAACTGCTTTAATTGCACAGCCTTGGGAGAGAGAATAAGAAAACATATGTAGAAACAGAGCTAGCTTCTGGTTGACTTGCAATGCTTTTAGGAGCAGGAAGACAAAAGTCTGATCATAGTCTGTGAAAGCATGTGGGTGTGTTTGGTTGAATACTGAGATGCTATTACACTCTGAAGGAGTGGGGCGGGTGTAAAATTCAGTCAAGGGCAGCTGGGATTCTTCAACTGAGCTAGAATCTGAAGTTGTCATGCCTTAGTAACTCAAGCATCTATCACTGGTAGGGACAAGATGGAATGAAGGCCAGAAGGTCAGCACACTACAAGCATATCTTCTAAATGTTATTGTACTTCATGCAGAAATCATTAGACTATAGAAGGAAATATTAGAAAGCTTATCATGAATGTATTAAAAAGACCTGTTGCCAAAAGCCTGAGAAATGCATTCAAATGTTTCCAAAACTTTAGATTTTTCAAAGCTACTAATTAATAGCTACATAAACATTATAAAATAATATATAGATTCCAGTATATATTAGTATTTAATGAACTGTTTTTTGCCATAAGACATCTTCCTCCCATTAATATAAAACATTATTTTCCATTATTGACATTTTAATCATAGTGTTTTATTTCTCCTCTTTCTAACCAAATACATTAAGTCAGTAGGGTTGCTATTCTTATTTTGATATTAGTAAGTTGATAGTGCCTTTTGAATTCACTTTTAAAAAACTATTAAATATAAATAGGTATTGCTTTTCTCTTTCCCTTTTATAGAGTAAATAACAATTCATTTACATACTCAATATTTGCCAGCTTAATAATAGCTTTAGACAAAAGCATTGGCCAAAGTTCAAATTCATAAGTTGAAGCTGGAAGTAGCAAAACGTTATCTTCATCAAAAGGGAAAGAATCATCAATAGTTATCTTTCTCCAGCAACCCTAAAATGAGAAGGAATATAGTAGTAATTCATGTTATTTCACTTTATACATTATTTCATACTATTCATATTACTATTTTGTAATTTTATTTTAACTTCTTACATATTAGAGAATGACACTCATTTTAAGTATTATTCTAGCTGATAATTTTATTTTATTTTAAATGCTAAATCTTCACCTGCATCAAACTTATGAGATATTTTTGGGTGTACCATTCTACAGGGGGCTGGAGTGATAGCACAGCAGTAGGCGTTTGCCTTGCATGTGGCTGACCTGGCTGACCCAAGTTTGATTCCTCCGCCTCTCTTGGAGAGCCCAGCAAGCTACTGAGAGTATCTCGCCCGCATGGCAAAGCCTGGCAAGGTACCCGTGACGTATTCAATATGCCAGACACAGTAACAACAAGTTTCACAATGGAGACGTTACTGGGTCTGCTCAAGCAAATTGATGAACAATGGGAGAATAGTGACAGTGACAGTGACCATTCTACATAACGCCAGAAATAGATAGCTTGAAATAGCATAAACAAAGTAATGTATAATCAATAATACCTTGGACCATGAGTAAATAACTAAGTAAAATCACTGTATCACTGTATCACTGTCATCCCATTGTTCATTGATTTACTCGTGCGGGTGCCAGTAACGTCTCCATTTGTCCCAGCCCTGAGATTTTAGCAGTCTCTCCTTACTCATCTTTTCCAACATATTAGAGGCTCTTTCAGGGTCAGGGAAATAAGACCCATTATTATTATTACTGTTTTTGGCATACTAAATATGCCACAGGTAGCTTGTCAGTCTCTGCCATGCGTGTGAGATACTCTCGATACCTTGCCAGGCTCTCTGAGAAGCATATATATATATATATATATATATATATATATATATATATATGTGTGTGTGTGTGTGTATTTTCTATCAAATATGGTATGGTCATTACGAAAAATGGGTAAGGAGTGTCTTATGATGTGTCATGTGACTGCGCGGTCCAGGAATATGTTAACTTGCGTGACGCTGGGCCTTAGCATGTGGAAAGCGGCCTGGAGCATGACAGCAGTTGGGTAGTGGAGGTCGGTTGCCCAGGCTGGGTCCCTTGGGGCTGGGAGGGCTCTCACCCGTCCCCCCCACTCTGGGGCGCCCCAAGTGAAAACAGCCTGGAGCGTAAATTAATATCAAAAATTTGGGGCTGGAGCAATAGCACAGCAGGTAGGGCATTTGCCTTCCACGCAGTTCACCCGGGTTCGAATATCAGCATCCCATATAGTCTCCTGAGCACCACTAGGGGTAATTCCTGAGTGCAGAGCCAGGAGTAACCCCTGAGCATTGCCGGGTGTGACCCTCCCAAAAAAAGAAAGAAAATTTTATAAAAATAAATTTAGCACAATTTTAGTTTATGCTGATTGACTGTGTTCCATATTTCAAATTACCATATTGTCCCTTATTCCCAATAAATTCTTACTCTTAATGAAAGGTTTAATTTAAAATTCACTAACACTGAGTTAATTAATACTTCAACAAAATCATATGCACTCAAAATAATCAGTATGTACCCAACTATTCATATCATAAATAAAAACTGAAGAAAAATAACATTTATTGTGAATTCACCCAAAGCTTTTTTTAACTTTTGTTTACTCTACCAGGTTTTATTAAAAACCCATTGTCTTTTCCCAAGAAATACCTCAGCATGAAATAAATTACTTGCATACTGTGATCCTCAAAAGCTGCATTACTCATATTTTATACCACTGAACTGCTTACAGTCTGTGCAGAAAGGTATGTAGAGCAAGCACTAGAATATATTATATGTCTGAATTGATCAAGGTTCAGAAAGCATCATGTAGCTATGTTGAAGGAAATGAGAACAGGAGTATCCTTCAAACTGAAGATTCAGGGAATAGTATACTTTTTTAAGTAAATGGAAACAACAGTAAAAATTGTTTCATTGTATGATACTTGTAACTGAACTATACATTATATAGTATATATTATATATATACTATATATTATATAGTAGTTAAATTTATCTTTGATTTCCTTCCACATATTTGTAAGTGGTGCTTAGTGAATCACTGATAATTTCAAGTAAAATGTTCTCTGGATAACACAGTAAAGTAATGCAATCAAAAGGGTGAATATTGTATGACTTCAGTTATATGAGGTACCTTGAAAAAGCAAATTAATAGAATTGCTAGGGACTTGGAGAAAAATAAAATTATTGTTCCATGGGTATATTCAGAATGATTAAATACTATTAAAAAGTGATTATTGTTATAAACTATTGTATAAAAATCTTAATAGTCACTGAATTTTGCATTTATAGTGGTTAAATGTTAGATTTAATGTCCAAGAAATTATCCAAAATTATGCAACATACCAAAATTCAGCTAAATTCCAATTATGATGAAAAAACACAATCAATATATTACAGTAGAAAACTACTGCAAGCTTAGAATAAGAATTCTCTGATAATAAGGCTTCTCAAAGCAGATATTAGTATGCAAAAATGATGGGAAACCAAGTCAAAAAAATAGAAAATATAAGAATGGAAAATTTGAACTGAAACAAATGTCTCACTGAATGAGATCAATAGCTGAAATAAGGTGGCATAAAATTAATAAACATAAGTTAGACAATTGAGAATCAGAATCAAAGACATATAGTTATTAGAAAGTGAAATGAGCTCTAGGGCTCTGTGAGATACTGAGTAAATGTCTTAGGGTAAATAATGTTAAAACATTAGCATCCCAAAAAATAGGAAAGAAAGAAAGCAGAGCTACAAATATATTAGAAAGAATAAAGCTGAAAAATTTCCCAGATTTCTCTTACGGTTTTCCGTAAACATAATCCTAAAGATGCAAAAAAATCTGTAAGCAAGATAATTCCAAATGATCCCCACCCACTTATATCACCTTCAGCTTTTGAAAAAGCCCAAAATAACCAGCAGAAAAATAAATAACCATCCAGGGAAATCACAAAAACCATGCAAGTCAACCCAGAAATTTTTTGTTGAGCAAACATTCCCTTTGATAATAAGAGTGAAATTAAAACATTTCCAAATAAATGAAAGATCTCTGGCAGTAAGTTGACTGGCTTTGAAAGAATGATGAAAGGAAATTAATTTTCTCTTTGTTCAAAGAGAGAAGGGAAATATGAGAATGCAAGAAATTTTAGGGTATCAAAAAGAAAAATAGCAAAGGAGAAAGTAAAACATACGGCAAGACATGAGAGAGAAATGTTCTCGTAAATTTTATTAATTGTTTATGACATTTAAAAGCAGAATTATGATAAAGGCCTCAATTTGGCCAAGGGAGTATGTATGGTAACTATTAGATCTGTCATTGTCACTGTCACTGTCCTCCCGTTGTTCATCGATTTGCTCAAGCGGGCCCAGTAATGTCTCCATCATGAGACTTGTTACGTATTGTTTGGCATATCGAATACGTCACGGGGAGCTTGCTAGGCTTTGCCGTGTGGGTGAGATACTCTCGGTAGCTTGCCGGGCTCTCCGAGAGGGGCGGAGGAATCGAACTCGGGTCGGCCATGTTGGCCGCTTGTAAGGCTAACGCCCTACCCACTGTGCTATCGCTCCAGCCCATGGTAACTATATGTCAATTATATTATAAAGGGAAGGGTATGAAGGGCCCTACTTACTGACCAAGTCATATTCCATTTTAAGTGGTAAATGATACCATTGAACTATGATAAACTAACTGTACATGAATATTTTCATCTCTAAGTCAAACACTAGAAAACAGTATATAAAGATACACTCAACAACAGTAGTGACATGCAAATGGAATTCTAAGGAATACTCAAGAAACACAAAAGAGGACAGACAAAGGAAAAATGCAAACAGATAAATCCAGAGATATAGAGAGAATAGATAAAATAAAAAGCTACCCAATTAAATCAAATGTGCAGAAAATATGAGCAAGAATGAACTGGGAAATAGTTCTTGAAATTAAGAATTTTCACATCATATTGATTAAACAATTCCGTATGTATACATTCTACCAAAAAATACAAGAAATTGGGGGAAATGCATATACATATAAGTGCATATAAAATTTTTATCACAAACTTTGGGTTGGTAAAACCTCTGGGTGTAACCTAAGTACCCATTGAGATGAAATGTGTGAAATACCTCTATTTTCACATTTATATTATGAACCACAAGGTAGATTTGTATTGGTTAGCACTTAGTGTTTACTGTTAGAGGAAATATAGTCTACAGAACATTAAATATATCGATCCTATTGTTGGAAGACATTTATGTTCTATAGTACATTCATACAGAGAGAATATAATAGATGTAGGAGGATTTACATAATCATTTACTATGTATGATGGAGTCACAGGAAACTAATTTTCTATTTTGAGCAGGTAATCGAGTTTGAATGTGTTTTACTAAAAGCATGCAAAATGTCACTAAAAATGAAAGGAGAATAAAAAAGCTCTCATTTGGCGAAAAGGTAATTGTGCTATAGTAAAATAGTCATTATTCACAGTAGTATATGCTGTAAACATGGTTCTCTGCAGTGGGTGAGAGAGTTAGCTGCAAATGTCACGCCGCAGCCTCAATCCAGAGAGGCTGTCTCAGGTGATCTGGGCAGATCACCAGAAGGGGTATTGTTCCTGATGCTTTTCTGTACACGCCCTTACAAGAAACTTTGCATTCTACAATACTGAGCAAGAAATGGCTAAGGGTCAATCAAAAACAAAAGCAAATACTTTTTCTCTTATCACTACATTGATTAACAACTGAGGATGGTTAGCAGTGGGTGCATTTTCTATTTATTTACAGACTAATTCAAACATTGAGCTATTCTGAGCACGCCTGCCAATAGCAATATCTGTATTTCAAGTGGGGAGCAAGAGCTTCATTGTCCCCATAATGGTGCCAGAGGAATGTTGAAATTGGAAAGTACCTGATGAAATGGTATGTAGACCAGCTGCTGTTTTGTTACAGCAATGTGAAAGGAAGAAACTGCTCCCTGTCTCAAAACTGCTGTTAATGCTCTTCAATAATCTTCGTATCTGGCCAATGTCAAAAAATCTTAAAGCTATTTATTTAGTATGCAAAGTGGAAAAAATAGGTTTTATTGTTTTTCTTATATAGAGGACACACTAATGAAGGCCTGAAATTCTGAACACTTCCTGTCACGTAGAGAGCACTGTTCTCCCGTTGTTCATCGAGTTGCTTGAGCAGGTCCAGTAATGTCTCCATTGTGAGACTTGTTGTTACTGTGTTTGGCATATCGAATACATCATGTGCGGGCAAGATACTCTCAGTAGCTTGCTGGGCTCTCTGAGAGGGGCGGAGGATTCGAACCTGGGTCATCCGGGTCGGCTGCGTGCAAGGCAAACGCCTTACCGATGTGCTATCGCTCCACATAGAGAGATCTCTGGTAATTCACAAGCTGCTTTTCTTGCCTAACTGTTTTGACTTTTAAGGTTCACTGCATGGCTGTGAATATCAACAACACCCACCCAGTCCATTATCAGAGACTAATATTCCTTCTTTACCTTTACTTCCTTGCTGCAATGATCTTATTAATTCCTAGGCACTGGCCTTTCTATATTTCCCCTCCGAGGAAGATAGATGGGTTGGTCTTCTGTAGGAAAATGTCATGTTCCTTAATGGGGTAATCAAAGTTTTACACTCATGCAGCTTTCTTGAATGTTAAAGAACAGTTTTTTCCTCAGGTCTCTAAAACCACATGGGACTACACACTTAGATTAGAAGGGCACTGTGTTCAGTCTAAAATGCTGCTATTACGGTCTTGAGACTCTTAATACAATGAGCTCTGCAAATCATATATCTGGTCCTGACCATGATGATACTGGTCCTTCAGAGAACAGCATCTCACTATTAAAAACCCAAAGATGTCTAATATAATCTAGCCTTGCTAAAGGGCGTGAATCTCCCAGGACACATTAACGAAGGGAATTGCAATCCTCAATTTCTGTTCCTTCAATGCTACTGAGTGATAGCACAGTGGGTAGGGCGTTTGCCTTGCACATCGCCGACCCGACCGACCTGGGTTCAATTCTTCCGCCCCTCTTGGAGAGCCCAGCAAGCTACTGAGAGTATCTCGCCTGCATGGCAAAGCCTGGGAAGCTTTCTGTGGTGTATTCGATATGCCAGACACAGTAACAAGTCTCACAATGGCAACGTTACTGGGCCCACTCGAGCAAATTGATGAACAACGGGAGGATAGTGACAGTGACAATGCTCCTGATAATTTTTTTTGCTCAAACAGGCAAAGATAAAAACTTGAAATGTCAGAATAAATATTGTTCACATGAAAATAAACCTCTACACGGCCAGAGAGATAATATAGGAGGTAAGGTCCTTGTCTTACATGTAGCACCTAGATCAGTTCACTGGAATTATATGGTCCCTTGAGCATGACCCCTGGGCCCCTCCAGATGTGGCCACACAGACCCATGGCACCCCTATAGAAAAGCAAAACCAAAATCTCAATCTTGTCAGAGAAGCTTGGGATGGAATCAGTAAACACTAAGAGAGAAGGACAGGGTGACACTCAGCATCTCCTCAACCCCTTTCCTTCACCTTTCCATGGCCAGTATACCTCTGTGGTATACAGAGGAGAGAGGACGAGAATTCCACAAACCAGGGCCCATTCAGGCCACCCACCTCCTGAGGCTGACACAGAGAGGGCCACCTCTCTGTAGTCTCTCTTTGAAGAGGTGTTTGGTTATCACAAGAGAATCCACAGTGTTTCCTACTGAATTACACAGGTAGCACGTTTCCTCCCAGAGCTATACACATCTGCTATCTTAACGGAACTTCATTTTCTCGGATCAGACAGGGTAACAAGCATGTAAGCCATTGAGGAAGGAAACACACACTGTAGCAGGAAAGCTACACTTGGAAAGACCCGTGGATTTTAACGCACAGAAACATGGACTTACCATCCAGTAGAGCTTCACAATATACTTTCCATAGCTATTGAACAATGGCATGTGGCCCTTTACTGCCTTGCACAGGGAGTATATGTGCTCCCAGGGCTTCCAGGAGAGAACGGGTGGGTCTGCTGGAGTAGTTCTGGTTGTGTTGCTCGAAGGATTTCCATTGCGTATCCTCCAGACTGCATAAATTTCACTGATTATCCATCTCATTAGCTAAAGGCAAGAAACCTCAGTGTTGATTCGTTGTTTTTCACTGGTTGTAATTGTGGGGAGGTGTAACACCTACATCAAACAGTAATATTAAATTCTAAAGTATGTGTCCCTTATTTATATTGATGACCTACAGAGAAATTTTGACAATTTTTGACTTAAAAAATTTAACTTTTGGATTTCTATTTGTTTGGTTGTATTTATTTGAAATATTAAGAAATCTATTCAAAATAAGTTTTCTTTTGATATACTTAGTAGTGGACAAAAGACTGTATCCAGTTTTTGAGTTTGAATTCCCGCATTTCAAAATGTATTCATTAAAATGTGCTTTTTTTTGTTTTCCATAATAGTACATTAGTGAAAATTAGTGTTAGCGATTTATTTAAATGGTATCACCTTAATAGATCATGTTATAATCTGTGATGTGCTTACTAACCCTTCAGCAAATCAGGTGAGATAAATGTTGGCTATTTTTATTTATTTATTTATTTTTACTTGGTTCATGTTTCAAGACATTTTTACCCAGCGGGTAGGGCGTTTGCCTTGCATGCCGGTGACCCAGGTTTGATTCTTCCACCCCTCTCAGAGAGCCCGGTATCCCCGCATGGCAAAGCCTGGCAAGCTACCCATGACGTATTTGATATGCCAAAAACAGTAAAAATGAGTCTCACAATTTGTTGAGACGTTACTGCTGCCTGCTCGAGCAAATCGATGAACAACAGAAGGACAGTGCTACAGTGCTACAGAGAAAAATCATGTGTAGCTTCTGTTTTCAGAAAGTAGCAATAATAGGATATCAAATATATTCTTAGTTGAGAGCTATCTTCCAGAGAACAATGTCAGTGATTTGATATTGACCTTCAATTGACATTGTCCTTTCTTTCAAGTGTGTGGTGTGTGTGTGTTTGTGTGTGTGTGTATACACATACATATGGGGTAGGGGCAGGAGACTGAATGCTTCTGAGAGGAATCATGATGGTATTAAAACGGTAATATTGTTTTGGAATTATTATAATTGACTTTTCACAAATGAATAAGTTATACTCTTGTGTAAATATTGAAATTAGAAGAAAATTTTTTTCCATGTCAATCAAGAAAATTACAGAAGGAAATAATTAAAATCGCACACACAATTAAATATAAGCTCAACCTCTTACTGCATGCCTTGATTTCTACGTGTGGAACTTCTCTAAGGGAATTTGTTTTGCAAATTTTTTGCAGAGAGCTTAGTTTCTTCTGCCTCTCTTGAGTGTAGTTTTTCATGCATATGCATATATTTTAGTGTCTATTATCAGTATTTTTGCAAGCAATAGAAATGATATATAAGAATTCTCTCACATTTGGGTGTTCAATAAAGCCATAACTATCTCAATAATGTGGCATTTTTTTGAAATATTCAGCTCAGGTTTAGTCTCCTGGCTTATACAGAAATTATATATTTGATACAAACATCATAATATCTGTGTTTTTATCAATTTTTTTCTAGAAAATTTCTTAAATTACTTTGACTTAGTTTAAAGTACTTTTGTATATATGAAAGTATGACTATAGTATATTTATACTTTTTTTTTACTTTGTAGAAGTAAAAGCTAAAGTCAGTGTATGTATATGATTCATAAAATAAGTATATTTTAACAAAAAAAATTTAATTCAATTAACAATAAAGCCAGCAACTCAGTACATGATAGGAAAATGGCCAAAAAAATTTTATTTCATTATTGTTCAAAATATTAAAAAAAAAGATGATGTGTTTTAATCAATAATGATTTCACCCAATAGTTTGGTTTTTTGGGGGGTTATACCCAGCAATGCTCAGGGGTTACTCCTGGCTCTGCACTCAGAAATTACTCCTGGAGGTGCTCAGGGGACAATACAGGTTGCTGGGAATCAAACCCGGGTCAGCCGCATGCAAGGCAAATGCCCCACCCACTGTACAATTGCTCTAGCCCCTTCCTTCACCCAACAGCTTTGGTTGAATCTTAGGAGAAAATATTGTGAAAGTATTTGTTTTAGCTTTGTGCTTAAATTTGGGGCTACATCCAACTGTGCTCAGTGCTAAGTCCTGACTCTGTACTCTGTCTGATCTCTCTGGTGGGTTCTGGGGACAGCACAAGGCAAATGCCTTACCAGCCATAGTATCTCTCTGGCTTCTGAAAGCTTATGAGTATGAGTCTATTTAAGAGATTTAAGACAAGCCTGTTTCTGACAACACTACCATAGGGGAGAACAGGTTTTCTCTGATGGATGAAACCAAAAGTGGATGTGTGAGAGGAAGAAATTAGCGAAACGAGGTGTCAGGAAGCAGGGGAGGTGGGCATCTATAGGAAAGAAAGCAATGTTGTGCCGAAAATCTGATTGTTTAGATAATGTGTTAGAAAAAAAAAAACCCTGCAAACAATGATATCCCCTAAATGAGCACGACAACATCCATCACCCTAATTTGGGACATGATGCACTGCAAGACCTGTGGCTACTTATGCCCATGCTAGGCACAAGAGAGGGTGGAAATACACACAAAGAATCCAGTTGCCTGACACCCAAGGACAGTAGACACAAGGGCCAGGAATATTGCTCCATCGTTGGAAGTCTGTCTCATCTTGGGGAGAAGGCAGATGAAATAGAGAGGAAATCACTAAGATGGTTGGAGGGCTCGCTTGGGATGGGAGATGTGTCCTGAAAGTAGATAAAGGACCAAATGTGATAGCCTCTCAGTATCTGTATTGCAAATCATAATGCCCAAAATAGAGAGAGAGTATGGGGGAAATTGTCTGCCATGGAGGCAGGGGAAGGGCGGGAAAGGTGGGAGGCTTATACTGGGAAGATTGGTGGTGGAAAATGTACACTGTGGAGAGATAGGTGTTCGATGATTGTATGACTGAAACTCAAACATAAAAGTTTTGTATTTCACGGTAATTCAATTTTTAAAAAATCCAGCTGCCAGAGAATCCTGGGAAGGAAAACAGAGTCACAAGCTATGAATGGCAATAGGAATATTTCTTCACCAATATGTACCCCAAACCCTATCCAAGAGACTTGTCTTCCCCTTTAAATGTCTGGCATCATAAAATTCTCAGTTGGATAAAAACAGAAGTGTATGAGAACTGAAATTGACTAGGAATTGTTCAGGCATCCTGGAAGGCATCCTGCAGTGACTTCATTTCCTACTTCCCAGCATACCTCACTGCAAAATAAATGTTCATTTTCTGATAACAAGTCAAATGCCATTTCATTTTTCACAACAACTGGAACCTGAAATGAGAAAAAGAGAAAAACCTATATTATTCTTTAGGGGGAAAGTAGCTTAATTTTATTATGTTTCAAGTGCTGAAATGTTAGAAGCGAACATTAGAAAAAAAAAGTGTTTCCAAAACTGAACTAAACTTTAAGCACATCATTTCTTATAATCTTGTTAGAGCTTTGGGTGACATTAATTTATTCATGATGTCTACAAAGACTTGGTATATTAAAATACAAACAAATGGGCCAGAGAAGTAGTACAGGGGTTAAGGCATTTGTATTGCAAGCAACCTATCCCAGTTTGCTTTCTGTCATTGCATATTTCCCCTAAATACTGCTTTGAGTGATCCCTCAGTCCAGAGATGTGATTGATCTCTGAACATCAGTGATATAACTCAACTCCCACTCCACAAAACAACTATACTGTTACAAGATGTAGTATGAAGATGTGACCTTAGCATTCATACACACAAATTATTAGAGTTGAAAAAGAGATTTGAAATTCAAATTTAGTTTGAAGCTAAGTTAATATCTGGGAGCTGAAAAAATATCTTCATCACAGATTAAAATATTAATATAATAGGAACAGCTTTTAAAAATTAGTTCAACTTTAACCCTATCTTAGAAAGTAGTAGTAATTATTTAATAGAGTATACTTATTTATTTAGAAAAGAAGAAACCTAATAGGAAATAGAAGAACTACAATAGGTTTCAGAAATAATCGTTCATATCAAGCTTATATATCATGTAAAATTAACATGAAATGCTTTTGATTAGAAAAAACAGATTTTAAATGAAAGCTATAGCTATCAATTACTCTCAATCTGTACAGACACCAACTTGAGAATTTATTGGAACAATTTGGTTTTTTTTGGCTTTTTGGGTCACACCTGGAGATGCTCAGGGGATTGATTATTCATGACTCTGCACTGAGGAATTACTCCTGGCAGTGCTCCAGGGATCAAATGGGATACTGGAGATCAAACCTGGGTGAGCCACATGCAAGGCGAATGAACTAGCCGCTCTACTGTCACTCCAACCCCAAAACAATTGTTAAGTATAAGAAATATTTATATATGACTATCTTAATGGTCTGATTTGACTCTTATACTCATAATTTATAAACATAGTTGTTAGGACTCTATACTTTTATTTGAATGTTAGGACATTTTTGTAAAATACCTATACTTCTCAGCGAGTGCCAAACTGCATTAATTATTCATAGACAAGTATTGGATACTTAAGAAAGAAGGGTTAGAATTAGTAGTCAGCTGTCAATTAATAAAAAAGAGGAACTGCCAATTGTAAGGCAGAGGGCTTAAAGTATCACATAGCATTTCCCTCTCTTTCCTATTCCTTTATCTGGAGGAACGTAAACCTTCATATGTTACTTTTCAGTATAGGCAAAGTATATAGTCCTGAGCTATCAAAAACCTGGTTCTCAGTAACAGACAGAATGATCTGATCATCCTCATTATGATTCTCACCTTAACTTTGCTTGCATGTTGACTCCAATAGCCTATACCTGTATTTCAAGTTTTTCCTCTCAGTTTTTATTCACTTTTAAAATAATGTGTTTTTTAAACTCTCATTATTGCTCGAGGTACTGGGATTTAACCCCACCCCCCAAAAAATAAACAAAGACTCAATTCTATGGAGCAGTTCTCCCATAGTTTTTCATTTGGCCCTTTGTTGTTACCCTGCTGTGTATCTTTAAGCCCCACATAACAAAGACTTCATTCTGTTTCTATCTACTCCTTTATTTCTGGTTAATTTCACTCAGCATGATACCTTCTAGGTTCATTCATGTTGCAGCAAGTTGAGTGAGTTGGTTCTTCCTTAGAACTGCAGAATATTTCACCCTGTGCATATACAACAACATATTGGTGCATCTATCTATAGTTGGAAATTTGATTTTTTTCAATACCTTGGCTCTTATAGCTAGTGTTTTGATGAACACTAATATATATATATATATTTATATATATATGCACACATATATATATCCTTTCAAATAAAATGTTATTGTAGTTTGGGGTAGATGTCAGGAAGAGGTATCATTGGGTCATACTGGAGTATTATTTCTATTTTCTTGAACTTCTTGCATTTAAATCATTTTATTTGAATACACTTTTTCTTAGAGTTATATGGAGCATGTTTTCAAGTTTAATTGTGCTTTGTAACTTGTAGGTTACAGTCATTCAATGACACACACAAACACACACACACACACACACACACACACACACACATGAGCGATAGCACAGTGGTAGGGCATTTGCCTTGCATGCAGCTGGCATGGCCATGGCCGAGACGGGTTCGATTTCTCCGCCCCCCGCGTAGAGCCTGGCAAGCTACCAAGAGTATCTCGCCTGCCTGGCAAAGCCTGGCAAGATACCCGTGATGTATTCAATATGCCAAACACAGTAACAACAAGTCTAATGATGGAGACGCTACTGGGCCCACTCGAGCAAATTGATGAACAACGGGAGGACCATGCTACCGTGCTACATATATGAGAACTAGGAGTAAATTTTACATAGGAAAATTATTGCTTTTGTAAAGTTGCCTAAATTTTATATACAGAATCTATTTTAATGCAAGATGTAATTACGATTTTGAATTTAGATATTAACATTTAAATAACACTATTATAAGACTTTCCTCTTCAGTTAGACTTTGAATTCTGGCATTTTTGCTCATACTAAATCATAGGAGACGAAGGAAGACAGCGCTGAAGTGAAGTAGAACAATGAGATGGAAGTGCAAAGTTATCATAAAAATGCAGGTGTAAATGTCATGAACAAACAATGACAAATTTATTTTTAGTACAAGCGTGTCTATTAGAACTTAGAAATGATAAAAAGAAAGATAATATATTGGTATATAAAAGTTTCTATCTACTCAAAATTATAACACTACCGCTTTGTGGGATTTGTAGCCTTTACTTGCATGAAATATAAGCTTGCTTTGCTGAATGAAATATTTTTAATTTAATATTAAGAGCATTGGGCTGGAGTGATAGCACAGCGGGTAGGGCTTTTGCCTTATACACAGCCAACATGGCCGGCCCGAGTTCGATTCCTCCACCCCTCTTGGAGAGCCCGGCAAGCTACCGAGAGTATCTTGCCCGCATGGCAAAGCCTGGCGAGCTACCCATGGCGTATCCAATATGCCAAACACAGTAACAAGTCTCAAAATGGAGACGTTACTGGGCCCACTCGAGAAAATCGATGAACAACGGGAGGACAGTGACAGTGACATTAAGAGCATTATTTTAACATCAGAATGTACATTCTTTACATAAATATCAAGAGTAATTTTAAGGTATGGTTGACACATATTTTATTTCATTTAAGTGTCCTACCACTAGTCATTTCATTGATACTCTAATGGGCAAAGATATACATTATTTTCTCATTTTACTAAATAGTTTGAATTTCAGAGTATTCAATTTTCTCAACAAGTAACAGCAGTGAGGAAAAATGGTGGAAAACTCTGTCTTCTTGCATTAGTAACAGTGTTTACCAAAGCTAAAACTTTTAGAAATAAAATCACTGTGTAGAAAAGAGATTCAACGGACTTCATTTATACGGAAGAATTAGCTTCATTACATGTGACTGGCACTAAGTAACTAATTTAGCCACAGGTTTTTATGCCTTCAACAAAAATAGTTGGATATTTAAGATGAGAAAAAAGACATTAGTGATAATTAAACCATTAGAAACACCAAACAATCAAACTAACACAGCTATTAGGAAGACTCACCAACGGGTCTAAAGATTTCATGTATATAAAATGCTATTTTAAATGAAGGTTTCCGGGTGATAGCCCATCAATATGATTCAAATGGCTGAGCACAAAGTCCAGAAATGAAGGTTACCTTGGGAAATAGTTTCAAAAATCCCTAGAATAGAGTAATCCAAGTGCAAATGCCTTGGAATGGTTCTGGACATATCTCTTAAAAAAAAATCACATCTCCTAAGTTGTTGCTTAGAAGCAGAGATTTAACAGAATATCTGAAGTTAATGGATCACTCCTAACAACATTTGAGTCTATCGGGCAAAGAAGAAAATTCAAGATTGTATAAAATTTCAAAATTCTATTGAAGACAAGTTCAAGAAATATTCAGTTTTATTGACAAACATTTATATCTAATTTAAATAACAAAATAAGCAACTACTATTACTGAATGCCACAGGAAAAATTACCTTAGACTGCTTCAAAATATAGATATTCTTAAGTAGAATACTATATCTCACAGTTAATATGTTATCTTGATTAATAGCAAAATTTTTTCTGACCTGATTAATTAGAAAATCTTGTGGACGTTTCCAGGAATAAATTTTCAATGATGGCGGCAATTCAATCTTTCCTTCAGGGTCTTCAAAGAAATGCTACATAAAAAATATGTTCATTTTCTATGTATAATTTTTATAAAAATAGCTCAGCACTAATAAAATTTGTATGAGATTTTTACTAAATAATATATGAAATAAAGAAGCAGTTGTCTATTAGATCAAAGTTATATTAGAGTTCTTAATTAAAGTTAACAATTATAACACGTCCAAAACCAAACCAAGTTTTTTACCCCTCAGATACTAGCTGACTGGTCTATTGGGGCTCATCATCAAACTAGCCTCTCAAGTTGTATAACTTTCAGCTTTAACCAAAAATTGCCTGTTCTGCCAATTTTCTTTTTTGTTAAGTTGTAACTCTTCCAATTTACCCAAACGGATTCACCAAAGCTCAGACTAAAGCTTGGAAAATTAGACTGAGACTAATTTTAATCGCAGAAGCCATGTGAACAAAGACATGATTACTCTCTTGAGTGCAGATTGTGGGGAAGAATGAGAAAATTTTCTTGCAATACATCTAGTTCCATTATATAATTACAGACCAATATAAAATATAGTCACATTCTGTCTACTTACCACTAATGGGCTCTTTCCTGTTTTTTCCTTATCTTTTCCAGATTTGCCTGCATCCCATTTTTCTGAATTTATGTCAGATTCATTCCATTCTGGCCAGATTGAGAATTTCCCCTTCTGTTCACCAGAAGTTTGTCCACCACCACCTAAAGAGTACTGACTAGAGAGAGAGAAGAACAGTGTGTGAGTTCTAATATAAATCTCAGAGGCAAAATATAGGGCTAACTGAATTATGCGAAGTAAAACATTTTATCAACAGCTTTGCTAAATAGATTTAAAAATATATATGTACATATATATATTTCCATACATATAGCAGAGTTTCCACATGGTTAGAGTTCTAAAGATTAAAATAATCTAAAAGAGATGGTTATATAAACAAATTTTGAGCAGTGTTCTCTATTTACTATTGGAAGATGTTAAAACTAAGTACATAGTATTGTCATAAGCAAAATAATACTATAAAATGGAATATTTATATACCATTCACACTAAACACTGTCCTCCCATTGTTCATCAATTTGCTCAAGCAGGCCCAGTAACGTCTCCATTGTGAGACTTCCTGTTACTGTGTTTGGCATGTTGAATACTTTTGGTAGTTTGCCAGGCTCTTTGAGAAGGGCGAAGGAATCGAACCCGGCTCGGCCTGGCTGGCTGAGCGCAAGGCAAAGCCCTACTGCTGTGCTATCACTCCAGCCCATTCACACTAAAATCATTTGCATGTTATAGCGTTTTGAAGTTCAATCCAAGGGTAATGTCATTTATTTACCCCAGTATATAAATGCTACATGATCATCATTTTAAAAGAAAAATTTAAATATGCAAATCTTATTTTAAATACAATAGGCATACTCACCCTATTTTATAAAGCGCAATAACAATAACTACCCTCTCAGGTAATATAAAGGATAGACCTCTTTTATTAGAAAAGACTGTCTCATTTCAGGAGCTGGAGAGAGAGTACAGCAAGGAGGGGATTTGCTTTGCACGAGGCTGCTCCGAATTCAATTCTCAGCACAAGGTATGATCCCCTGAGCCTAGTTAGGAGGAATCTGAGAAGTTTGGCCACCACACTGCCAGGTAGGTCCAAATTTCCCCACCTTCAAAACTGTCTCATTTCAGTGTATTCTCTTTCTCAGAAGGCTCTGTCCACTTATTGTTTATATTTTCAATGCCATTAGTGATTATCAAAATACCAATTTGGGGTTTGTATACTATCCAATTGTATGACTGTATCATATTTTTGTTTGCAAGTGTCTGTACTTGGAAACTTACAGGTTTGCTCTCTTTACTTTTTTTTTTTTTTGCTATGATTAGTAAGCAAAAAAAATGATGATGGCTACTCAATAAGCCAAAATTTTACATGCATCATTATTTCATTAATAATTTATAACATCAAAATATTATCTATTTAAAGTTTATAGCATGTTTTGAAATATTTTCTATGGAAAATTTGAACATGTTTTGTACTCATGCCATTAGCATATTGCAGTTTTAATAGAGAAATCTAAATATTTTACTCTTTCTTCATTTTATGATTTTTTAAGGTGCAAATAGACATTTTCTTTCATAGTTCATCATAACTACTTATGGTATTAGAATCTTTTTATACCTGAGATTAATAGAGAACAAATCTAACCAAAATCTCTACTGTTTTGAAGTTCGTTTTCTAGTGGTGGAGACACAAAATAAACAACATGAATTAAAATATCTTGTGTGTTAAAAAGTAAAAACTGATAGTGGGAACCATAAAACAGAAAGTGTAAGTGGAGAATTAACACATGCAATTATTAATGGAGTGACTAATGAATGTATCCAGATAAAGAAATACTTAAGCAAATTTTGAAACAAAAAAGATTAATTTACATAGATATTTTGAAAGAATGTTCTAGATATATGGGAAAGAATGCACAAAAACAAAGGAAGAATAGTCCATATATAAACAACATTCTAGTTTATTTGAAGAATAAGGTTAGAGCAACTAAACAGAAGATAAAAACATGGTATCAGAGAAATAATGGGACACAAAAATTATTAAGGTAATTGAAGCTAAACTGAAGAGTACAGATATTTATTCTGAGAAAGGTGAGAAATTAAAATAAAACTTCAAAGCAAGGTAAAATATAACACAATTAAAATGTTAACATCACTTTTCTGCTGTGTTGAGAAAAGACTGAAAAACATAAAACATTTGGAAATTTTTATCATAATTGGTGAAAGTTGATGGTTTGGACCACATTGGTAAAGGTGAAAAAGGTAAAGGCCCTCCCGTTGATGGTCGATTTGCTCGAGCGGGCCCAGTAACGTCTTCGCCCCTCTCGGAGAGTCCGGCAAGCTACCGAGGAATCAAACTCAGGTTGGCCATGTTGGCTGCGTGCAAGGCAAACGTCCTACCACTGTGCTATCGCTCCACCCGGACCACATTGGTAACGATGGAGAAGGTTTAGAAATAGTCCTCTTTGTAATTATTTAAGGCAAAGAAAGTACATTGAGATGAAATTTCCTAGGTCACATAAAGTCATGAGATAGGAAAAGATTCATGGTTGAGCAGGAAATCAAGCATTACCTCATCTTTGAATGAACTGCACTCTAGATATTCATGATAGCTAGAATTCTGAGGTTTATGAGAATTAGACTAAAATAAAAATTTAAGAGCAGGCAGCATTTAGATGATAAAATCTTAAGAGTAGAGTAAATCACCAAAGAAATAACACTTATCAGGAAGAGTCATTTTTGGATGTTATTCAAAACGCATATCTGGTAAGCAGTGAGTCTAGACCAAGCTAAATGGAAGACAGGTCAGTGTTCTCAGAACTACTCTCTATGGAAAACATGCTTGCATAAGTAGTAGGACAAGGAAGACAGGACCTCGAAGTGGGCCAGGATACAAGGGTGAGATGTCAAGGGTTCAGATTTATTGGTAAGGTTATTGGTAAGGCTAGTGTATATATCACTGTATCACTATCATCCCGTTGTTCATCGATTTGCTCAAATGGGCACCAGGAACGTCTCCATTCATCCCAGCCTTAAGATTTTAGTAGCCTCTCCTTACTCGTTCTTCCCAATGGTGCCATACTGGAGACTCTTTCAGGGTCAGGGGAAAGAGACCCATAATTTGTTACTGCTTTTGGCATATCAATTACATCACTTGAAGCTTGCCAGGCTCTGCTATGTACTCTATATGCACATCAAGTACTAAGCAGGATAACACATCAATTTGCTCGATTGGGCACCAGTAACGTCTCCATTGTGAGACTTGTTGTTACTGTTTTGGGCATATTGAATACATCATGGGGAGCTTGCCAGGCTCTGCCGTGCAGGCAGGATATTCTCGGTAGCTTGCCATGCTCTCCGAGAGGGACGGAGGAATTGAAACTGGGTCAGCCGCAAGGTAAACGCCCTATCCACTGTGCTATAGTCTATATAATCAATAGAAAATACTTTAATATGCTAACAGCAAATAAGATCATAACTCAACCCTGGTTCTCCATATTTAAACCAAAGAGAAAACTGAGAAATGTGATCAGTGAATGTGGGGCACAAAATAATGCCCCACCACCACCATGATGAATGTATCTACATTCTAATCCTCAGAACCACTATATTCTATTTTATGGCAAAAGAGAATTTCTAACTATTCTAAGTATCTTGGGATAGGGATATTAGCCTATATTTATCTGGGTCCACTGTAATCCCCATGATCCTTGAAAGGGTCTGGGGGAAAGGGTTGGGCCACACCCAGAGGGATTCAGGGCTTAATCCTGGTCCTGCACACAGGCACAACTCCAACCATATGGGATGCCAGTGGTTGAATCCATATCAGCTGCATGCAAGGCAAGAGACCTACTTACCATACCATCTCTCTAACTCCCCTTGAGAGTATACTTAAGAAGATTCCCAGGGTCCTAGCAGAAGAAAGAGACTGGAAGTTCAGAGGGAGGTGTGACTCATGCCACCTAGTGCAAAACTGCAGATTTTAAAGGTGATAGAAGCAAACTACAAGCCAAAGAATGTGGACCATTTGTTAAAAGAGGCAAGGAAGTGAGTTCTCTAGTCTCCAGAAAGGAAGCCTGACTTGCTGAACTTGATAGCACAGTGGGTAGGGCGTTTGCCTTGCACGCAGCTAACATGGCCGAGCCGCGTTCAATTCCTCTGCCCCTCTCAGAGAGCCCAGTAAGCTACCGAGAGTATCTCGCCTGCACGGCAAAGCCTGGCAAGCTACCCACGATGTATTCAATATGCCAAACACAGTAACAAGTCTTACGATGGAGACATTACTGGGCCCGCTCGAGCAAATCGATGAAGAATGGGAGAACCCACCGGATGTTAGCTCAGTGGAATAAATTTCAGGACATCTGGCATCAAGAACAACAAAAAAATCAAACAAACAAATAACTGTTTTCCTGTGTCAAGTTACCATTTTTTTAAGTATTGGCTCTAAGTCAGTTAGATCCTGGGCATCTCAGATGGACCAGGTGTTTCCTCTCTGTGTACTCCAGATGAACCCCCGATGGCCACATGCTTCCAGAAGAAAAATCCAAGTACGTGGGATCAAGGATTAAGACTCCAGGCCACATGGCGGCATCAGACATGGGCCATTCCTTCCCATATCCCTGCCCACTTGGGGTCCTGGCTGTCATGCCCACGAACTGCCTCCAGACACCATCTTAGTGCATTAACAGCCCTGATCAAGAGACTCACAAATGAATCTCAAAATGGATTAGCTCCCTACAAAGATGTCTTCGGACCCCAACCATTTACAATATTAGAATTCCAGGACCTCTCATGATATTCATAATAAGCAATAGAAGATAAATTATGTAGCATCTGCCCCTGGCAGGCAGACTTGAATGGTGGTGGGAAAATTTGAAATAATGGTGATGGGAAGGTGTAATGGTGGCAAGATCCACATTGAAATATTGAATGTAATGAATTACTGTGAACAACCTTATGAAAATAAAATTTCAAAAAATAAATAAAATAAAATCAGTTAATTAGGGGGCAAACACAGTACAGTGCCTTGAAAGCCAAATAGAATGATTATTTTCAAAATGAGAGAATGAAACCTATTGTGGAATCAATCTCTGCCTTCATAATTTCTTAGTGGGAGTCTGGACCTGGGGCTGGCAGGGTCCCAGGCTGGCACTGACAGCTGGGTAT